CCACCACTCCAGGTAGGAGCAATTGTACCAAAGCTATGATAACACCCTTAGCACTCTCTGTCCGACCTGCCCAACCACAATAGAAGACGCGGAGCATGCTTTCTTTCGCAGCCCGCGATTCCATGAAGAGAGGGAGCGACTTCAACAAGTCCTCCAAGAAGAAATCGAGCCGGAAAACATCGTCCAGCTCATGCTCGAGACCTAAGAATTGGCTGGCGGTAACATCCTTTGCGAAATCAGTCGTCACTAGACTGAGACAAGAAGCGCAAGAGGTGTAAAAACAGTCCGGACGATGCTGTGAGAAAAAGATGAAAACGACGATTCTGGTTCCCGAACCCCTAATCACCGTAAGGTGGATGGCGCCTGAAGCGAGAACCACACTCACAAGTTGACAACAGTAAGGAGTATCAAAAACTCACGGAGACTCGCAGGGTAGCGCCGGAAGTGAGAACCACACTCACAAGATGTAGCCGACAGATCCATCGGGCTAATTGCCATCGGCGGCAGAAGCGAGAACCTCGCTCACAAGATTGCATTAGACAGCGAGTTTTAAAAATACTCAGAAGGAGATGCCAGCAATGTGTGACCACGCAGTGGACGGCTCTGAAAAAGGGGATACCACAATCGAGAGATGGCATCGTGCAGGATTGGAGGTTCACCAAGTAGAGAAGAATAAGCCCCTGAACCCCTAATCGTCGCATATAACTATGCGACGGATGGGGGACGTATGGAAAAACAACGACTAGAAGTAGCAGAAAAATGCTCAACTAACCCCGGCCTCACCGAAGCAATGCCTAGTGGTGATTACCAGTGAGTGTCCGAATGGGGTGGAGTAGAAAAAAAACACATACACACACACACTCATACAGACATTTGTTGGTAATTCAATGTAGTTTCCAAATATGTTAACCAAGTTGTCCTACGACGTCCGGTTCCAAATCACATAACTTCCTCTATGAGGAAGCAAAACTTCCTTTATTATAAACTGATGACTCAATACTAATTAAATCAAGTTCAAGCACCTTGAATGCACTTGGACTTGTACTGTAATATGTCCGGAACATGTAAAAAAGTACTACACTCCAGCTTTATGGGCTCACTGTCCAAATTGAAACAAAGAAATTAATTAGAGCCATAGTATGAGACATTATGCAGTTATAGCCACAATACAAAGCAACAATATTTGAGAAGTACAACCTCTTGTCGTTAATCCCAATTTACAGTCTTTTCACACCCAAGTGGGCTTATTTCATACATTTTGATGAATTTATCAGAAGAAAGTTTTAGGGCATTTGTTATATAAAGGTATTCTTGCGTACAGTATCACCCTTAAACGGCCATAAACATAACCTTGAAAAAAAAACTAAAGGTGTATTCGAACGTGACATTTTCCGCTCTTTTCAAATCTGCAATAAAAAATGGGGGACCTGTACGAAAAATCAATTTTGGTTCGCTGTAGCTTAGGGGTTATGATCAAGGTCAAATCCAAGGTCACCATTGGTTTTCTCGTCGTAAAAATACGTTGGACATGATGTTTCCAAATTTTCTTGGGGATTTGTAGGAATTAAAGGACACTTCAGTAAAGCTAAGCTCGAAATCCAGATTCTATTTTTCAACTTCATTAATGATTATATTCTTAATTTGACTGTAGATTTGGCTCTGAGGCACCTATAAGCGCGTTGGAGGTCTCAAAAGATAGGTATTGAGATGCTTTTAATCATCAATAGTATTTGATCAGTAAGTATTAAAAGTGAAGAAAATAGGAATTTTGCTATTTTTAGCAATATTCAAATGGCTCTATATCAGTCAATTTAGAAGCAATCGAAACTCTGAAGTAGGCAAATTAAAGGTCTTAAAAACACCTTCAATTTGCCTATTTTAAAAGTTTGATTGCTTCAAAATTAGCTGCTGTAGAGCCGTTTGAATATGGTTGAAAATAAACAAAATTAGCTATTCACTTGCACGACGGTCAAGATGTGCTTTCGACGATAAACTCGGGGTCAATTTTTTTTTAAAAAGTACTATTTGAGACGAAAAAAATGATTCCAACCACGTCTTTGATGAGTCAATACTCTTCCTGAAATTTTTCCTTGAAATTTTTCAAAAATCGCCAAAAAACAGTGAAAAAAACACGTTTTTCGACACTGATTTGTCGCTAGGCACCTCCAAAATTTTTTTTCGGGCTGAACCTTTGAGAAAAGTTTTTTTTCATGTTATTCAATAACATATATTTTTTCCAAATTTTTTGAAATATTGCCGCGCACGTTTTTTTAAAAAAGTAGGAGAATAATCCTGCTATATTTGGAGATTAGTAGATTAAAAAAAAAACTAATAAAAAATACACTTAAGTGGAAAAGAATTTAATTATAAAATTTTAGAAACCTAAAGTATTTTAATTGATTAAATATGACATTCAAAATCACGTGGACAAGAACTTAAAAATCACTAGTCAATATATATGAATTCTGGATGAACAAAAAATTTTAATATTAATCCTCGATCTGTGTGCCCCCTTAAGGGGGGAAAGGTACCTAAAATCTCAAAAAAAAAAAATTTTGTTTTATTGACTTTTTTCATAGGATTTTTCCTCAGCTTTCCAGTGCTGTGATCGGAATTTAAAAATTTTAACTGTACCGTCATGTACAGCCTATTCAGTACCGATACTTTTACGATTATTTAAAAATATATCGTTTCCATTCTCTCATGAATCTCGAGACTTTCATGAGTCGGTAGCGCCGTCTATTGATACTCATTTTATTCTTTGGTTAGAGTACATCTAGCAGAAATTTGTTTGTTTACATGGCTATAGGTGTACAGTAACGCCACCACTCGCAGCACGTGGGTTTCGGCATATCTTCTGTCTCTCTCTGTTTCGTGCGCGAGCCCTGATCAAATGTCAATAACAGTCTGCTGACTGCATCTTGATTTTCCAATGGCTAAAAATTACATTTTTTTGAAAGTGAAAAAAGTACATGTACAGTGAAGTTATATCTTTGCAACTTGACATAGTGATTTATAATAAAGCTATGAAGATGCTTCAATAGCTTGTTATAAAAATGTTACATTTTTAGCAGTTCAAATTCAAGAAATACAGCAGTACATATGTAAATTGACATATATACATCAGTGTACATGTATGTCACTGTACTTTATGTATGTGTATATAACTGTATCATGTATATTATTGTATGTTGCATGTGATAACCAAGATTAGTGATAATTGATCAATTTTGAGTGATTTTATTTCCAACTATAGATCCAATGATTGTTGTTTTATGAATGTGAGTGAATATAGGTAGAGGGCTGAGTTCAAGTTCTAATGTGAGATTGTGTATATTAGTGTGAAAAGTTGATTTGGACATAATCAACTTAGTTACCAGTTTCCACATAAAACCCATATTAGCGTATGCTAACATTTTAGTAAAACTTATAATTTGGCTTTGTGTGTCTGTCTGGGATTATTGAACATTGTCCTTGTGGGTCTAATATGTTGAAATTTCAAGTTGAATTACTGTTTTTTATTGTCCAAAAAGTTTAAAGCAGCCTCAGTGACATGAGAGTATCATTATGACATATATTGATGTATTTTGGTTTTTTTCAACTCTTGGGCAGGAACGTTTTATCTCAAAATTGCTTTGTTGCCGTAACTTTCCATGTAAACCGTTTGAGCAAATGAGCTGAAATTTTCAGGGATTGTTCTACATGAGAATGGCTACAAACGCAAGCACTTTCAAAGGTATTGGGACAAATGAGCACTTTTTTCAGGCTATGATGTAGCATAATCTGTCATTTTATCATATATATTAATGAATAAATGTGTATATGTGGCTGGCAAATTGTGTATAACTAATTAAAAAATCTGAAAGTGCTTGCGTTTGTAACCACACATCTAATGATCAAAATGAGACCCCAAGGACCATGATTGAACCATCGGTTCTAGCTGGATCCTGCGGCACAGGGGTACCTGTCAGGACTGTGGGCTTGCTTCATCGAGGAGGGTTCTATGGTGACTGGGACCTCAATTTTTATATTCCAGAGTGAAAAACTTTGAAAAAAGAGTGAAGAAAACAGAGTTTTCTCTGTATATTCCAAAAAAAAATTTTTTCTTCATTTTTAATAAATTTTTTATAAATGTAGGTTTAAGGTACCTTTCCCCCCTTAAGTAACAGGAGACTACACAACAATTTTCAGGATGTTTGGTGGCCCGGATCTGACAGGCTCTCCTTGTAAGCACTATGTATTAAAGGGACAAGATAGTGTTTCAAGCCTATATTTAAAAATACTTCAAAATAGTTCAAATAAAATAGTTCAATAAAAAAATTCAAAATAATTCAATAAAAAAATTATCAAAATAGTTCAAATTTTTTTATTTTGAAGGTAAAACATATTCATACTAGACCTGATTGACTAAAAAAAACTTCTACCCTAGACCAATTAGAACCAATTAGACCACTTTTTTAATATAACTAAATATTGTATTATAAATCACTAACCGCATGATCTTGAAAAAAGTTTTTCAGTAATATTTATCTATAGTGATATTCGTTCAGTTATCAATAAAATAAGTGAAAAAGCAATTGCAGTCGAATCCCGTTCGTCCTCCTAGTGAGGGCCCTCCTCTCGGTCAAACAGGCTCTGTTAAGTTCCACTATTTCATTTGTCCACCAGTATTAAGGTTTCCTACTTCGAAGCGTCTCTTCTGATAACATTGTTTTGTCGCAAAGTCTACGAATGTGACTTTCCTAGAAGTCGTTTACAGTTGAACATTTCTTATCACTGAAGTAGTAATGTACAGGACCTGTACTACAGGTTACTTTAAGATGGAATAATGACACTGCAGGTGTGACATTAATGAGTTTTAATTAATGAAAATAAAAGGTTTTAGTTATTATATACAGCTAATTATCAATCATTTGTTATAATAATACTATATGCAATTGAAAAAAAATTTTCCTTTGTCAATGATTGTTTTTATATTTTTCTGAAATTCCCTTTTTCAGATCCTAATTTCAAAAAAGATTGTGAATTGATCATTGGAGTTTTATTATTGAAAAATCTTCAATTTTTACAATTCAATGCATTTGAAATTTATGATTATATCAGAGATAATTCGAAAAAGTCAATGGTAAATTCAATACCCATTGGAATAGGAATTTATCCACATTCTTCAAGATTCAATCATCAATGTTATTCTTCAACGTTAAGGTATGAAGGATATAATGTGTTAATCATAATATTTTATTCACATTCCACAACAAAAATTTTTATTAAAGCTAAATTTTTATTAAAGCTATTTTATTTCCAGTAATGCAGTATACTGCAAGAAAAAATTTTTTCAACTGTGAATTTACTGTCTTAACATGTGACTGAACTTGAGAAAGTTTCCGCCACAACCTTAATATCCCTGACGAAGAGACTCAAAATAACCTTCTCAGTTATTTCAAAAAGCAAACCTACTATAGAAGTGATAACAGAATAATATTTTTATATGAACTCTTTATTGTAGGTTAATCAATTGATGAGCACAGAGCGTAGCTTGGTAATGAAGTGAGCTTTCTTTTTATTTTTCTTCTTACCGTCGATGAGGCGTGCTGAACCTGGTGGCGAACGTCAGACGTTCGCAACACTACTACTACCGATCGCAAACATAAAACTGATCTTTTTCTATTTTAGCCACACAAACTTTCGACCATCAAATCTTAGATTCTTTTCAGTTTAGGTAAAGATATCAAGCTATTTTTCACTAATTGTGGCCCAAGAAGTACATATATTTTTCAGTAAAGCTTGCGCTGTTATAACATAATTTATAAACTCAAGATTTCATCATTTCTTTTTAGAGATTCAGAGAAAAAAATTCGTCAAAATTGAGCCAAAAATGAGAAAAAAACTACATTCACTTTGAGAAAGCAGAAAAGTCACTTTTACGAGCCATTTTCTTGTAGAGGATCTTTAAAGAAAATTGATATTATCAGTCGATTTTCAAAAATCATTTAAAAATGGCCCATCCTAATACATAATTCTAATATTTTTAAATAACTTACCTTCTTGCGATTAAAAATTTTTTTTTGTTGCACTTCTCATTGTGTACACTGTCCATTTTCACGACTTCGAGAAAAGCGTGATTTCCTTCCTTTTTATAAATCACTTTTACAACGGCTGGGCCACTACATTTGGCACTTTTTTGGGGTTAACCATCCCAGTACCCCGTGGCTTGTACTCTCCATGTCCCACACACCTGTAGTACACGGAATGATATTTCAGGCGATCGTGATCTCTGTGACCATCAGGTAACAGACTTGCATTCGATGTAGAAAATTTTTTATTTGTTTCAACTTGAAATCTTTGAATGGCCGAAGTAAGTTCTTCGACCGAATTATACGTGCTGTTCAGGTCAACGTCCATGTTGTTTTTCGATGTTCACTTCTCGAGTGCTGAGCGACAACTGCCACTCGTAGAGTCCATGCTGACGTGGAAGGGGAATCACGCTACTACGGTTACTACGACGCTACAACTTCTTTGGGACTGCAAAACAGTGCTGCCCCGGAGTCAATAGACGATTCGCGAAAGTATAGGCGCAGTGCGCAGCAGCAAAAAGATCACGACGACGAAAATGTTGAACAAGCACTTTCGTTTCCTGAAATTAACTCGACTCTACAATTTCGGAGGAATTGGAGTCCCCGTTGCGTGTTATGACATGTCTATGGAACATTCTGGTCTCGCGTACGCGAGGTCAACAAATTTTACCGTCACGTACGCAGTGGTATCATCGCGTACTCGCCGTCGAGGCGTGCTGGCTGTTGTGCCAGTTCTTTTGCGAGTGCGACTTGAACGTGTAAATGTTCTTGCTTTTGATCCTAATTTCGTGAAGCTCTGTATTATTATTATTTTTTTTCTCTTTCCTTTTCTCTTTTATTATTACTGTATAGACATAAGGTTCATGTAATTATGATTATGTTTGTAAATCTAAAGAAATGAAGTATACTTAGTGTTTATACCTCGCACTAGGTCACAAACACTTAAATATAAAAAAAAAAAGCGTACGCTCCGGATTTCGCGTACGCAAGATCTGAATGTTCTGTGGGTCAAAACAGTACCGTCGCATACGCGAAAGTACTCTCGCGTACGCGACCGACCCTGAATAGACAGACTCTATCTCATTTTATTTGTTTTGATGTAAAGAAGAAACCAAAACAAAATTTTTGCTTCTGTGTTAAGTTTAATAAGTTATGAGGGATTTTTGTGAAAAAAAAATTTTTTTTGCCCTTTTTTTTTAGTTTTGTCATATTTGTTCTAAAATAAACCGGTTATTCTGAAAAAAAGTAATACATTTTTTTAAGAAGAGCCTTTAATTTTTGATTTAAGATAAAAAGTGTAAAAATTCACCGTAGGTTTGATAAGTTACGTCTTGAAAAGAAATTTGGTTTTTATGATATTTTCTTTTGATGTGTAACGTCTTATGGCTCGTTGGGTAGGCTAGTGAATCCGTGAAAAACGAGCGAGCGAGCGAGCGAGCGCGATAATCGTAGGTTTTTAGTCTCAGTAGCGTCTTTTTGCTTTTCGCGCAGGATTGGTCGACGCTAGGCAGTATCGAGGAACTGCTTGCTCGCTTCTGCTGCGACACGCATAGCACGGGCGAGCAGTACTCGGCCATCAGCGCTCATGTCTATGAGGGCGTCTCTACATAAGAACGCGGACATATGGTCGCACAGCGTCGCGCGCGTCGCGACTACAGTTGCCAACTACAAAATAAACTACATTACTGCTCAGCAAATTTGGAGTTAACTCCGAACCTAAAAAAATTGTAAACTTTAAAAAAGAGTCATTGTGCTTGTGGTTAGAGCTTCATACAACGATGAATTGTCAAGACGTAATAAATCTTTATCAAATTTGGAACGTGTACCAAGAAGTTGTGGCAGCGAACGAAGAAAATAATAGAAATAGAGTCAGGCGATGGTGGGCAAAACCACACATTAGGCACAACTATCTACAAGGATACGGCGGTTATAGAAGCGTATTCCTTTACTTCAAATTGAACGACGAAGAAGAGTTTTATAGATTTACAAACCTGACAATTCATCAGTTTAATTTTGTTTTTGAAATTTTGAAACCGTTTCTTGTTAAAAGAAGTAGAAGACCACCTTTACCTGCTCAACTCCGATTTGCAGCTGTGTTAAAGTAAGTACATACATTATATCCACTTATTGTCATTATTATGAGCTGTTTGTAAAAATTACTCTTTATTTATTTAACAGCTATCTCGCTAAAGGTGACAGCCAATTAAAAAATGCTTGGTTCACTTCAATTGGAGAGTCAACAATGTATGCCATTGTACCTGAGGTGTGCAAAATCATATCTCAACAACTTGTACCAAGATATGTACGCCAGCCTTCATCAGCTGATTTCAAGAGAGTCGCTGAAGAATTTGAACAAGTATTACACTTTCCCCACTGTATAGGAACCATTGATGGAAGACATTGTCCAATTCGACAACCTAAGCACTCAGGAAGTGCTTATTACAATTATAAAAAATTTTTTAGCCTGAATATGATGGCCATCTGTGATGTTCATCAACGGTTCTTGATGTTTAATTTGGGAGGATATGGTGACTATCATTCATAATTATAATTGTAATATTTATACATCAAACACACTATTTATAGCCAATCCTAACCAATTATTTCAGGTTCCTTCAATGATGCGTTTACCTTCAACAACAGTGATATTTGTGAAATGTTGCAAGATAATCAAGCCATCCCTATTCCAGAACTGTTACCTAATTCAAATATTATGGCACCATATTATCTAATAGGAGATGGTGGCTTTCCGTTGCAAACGTACTTAATGAAACCATTCATAAAAATTGCTAATATGACTCCAGCAATGAATATTTTCAACTTCCGATTGAGTCATATCAGGCAAAAAATTGAGTG